TGTTTCTTGCTCTGGTGGTGGTTCCGCGTAAGGATTATAAACCACTGGCTTCAACTCCATAGTCACAGGTGGTTGCACTGGTGGTGGTTGCATTTGCGGCATAGCTTCCATTGCATTAAGCCCATGCTGAACCTTAAAAGCTTACCACAATGATATTGTTGGGAACAATATTTCAAGAAGAAAATATTACTCAGGAGCCGATGTTCAACTATGCACTACTTCTTACATAACAGTACTTTCTGAGTTCGATTGCAAAGTTGGAAAAATTTGGGAAGTTGGTAGGTAGGATGGGCAAGCGGTTTGTAACAGAAGAGAACAAAAGGCAGTTGGCACGATAATATGGTACTCTTCCTAAACTGCTAGCAGGGCGCTATATAAAAGGAAAATGGCGAAAAAACGAAGTGAAACGGTCGAAAACTGCGAAGAAAAGCCTTCGTTCTTAAAAAGCAATTTCGGACGAGTTTCCCGTAGGCACCTTGCCAATAACCGCTACGGTAGGTACGGCTGCATGTATGTACTCATATATCCATGCAGCACCGCCGCTTCATACCAATCCCTTCGCTTCATATTTTACTTAGCAAATGAAGCAATACGAGCATCAGGTACGGTCGTCCATTTGTGGGCGGGCGGGCGTGGTGGGCGTTCGGGTCGGTATGTTGTAGTTTGATAGGGCCCTTATAAGGGTACCTTCCCTGGAAAAGGCGTTACGCAGCGCCTGCTTAGGGTCGCGGAATTCTGTCCTGCCAGGCGTATTGACCCTACTCGTTTTTAGGGATTTATCGTGCCAACTGCCTTTAAAGGGGGCGTATTTTGCGAAAAAATTTCCTCCAACGGCAAGACGAGCGCCGTCTGAAGGAGTTCAGTTGGTCCACTAAGTTGGTGTCATGGGTTAGACTCTCCACACTGTCTTGTAAAAATGTCCGGACAGTTGCTCTACCTCTCTAGAGGAGCCCTCACGCCCCTGCCCCTCCCGTTCTCCCGTATCTCGCAATTTCCCCCTAACTTTTTGGTTCTCTTTTTTATTCCCGTCGTGAGGGCACATCGTATCCATAGTGAAGAGTAAGCACTGACTAGCTTTTCAATTTTGCTCTTTCTTGACTGCAATTTTGTTCTCTGCCCTATGGTGTACTATGCCCACATCTGGACGCGGCAGTCAAACAAATAAATAAATGAGAAAATAAATAAACAAAGTCAGGACTTACGCCGTTATTTTGGTAAACATTGTCCACGCCATTCACTGAAACCTGCGGCATCTGATGGAGCTGTTGTAGCGGCATCTGCGGTTGCACTTGTTGTTGAGGTGGTGGCATAAGGGGCTGCTGTTGCTGCATTGGCATTTGATGTTGTTGTTGCTGCTGTTGTTGTTGTTGCTGCTGCTGTTGTTGTTGTTGC